AATAATATATCACATTTATATAGCGCATTTCCAAAAAAAGTATCTCAATGCGCTTTCCGTTTCTCCAGACGAGGAAAAGAAACAGCAAAGGTCCAGGTGGCTGGTGCCTCTATAAATAAATCATTGATGGCCAGGTCAGAAATAGCACAACTTGTTAGTTTCACTTTTATTGTTTTTCACACAAGTAGGGTAACTCTTTTCGCTAAGTCCACGCTTTTTCGAAGTGGACGCCACTGAATTTTGAGGACACTTTTTTAAATTGGCGATAAGAAAGGAGTGAACTATCTAGTATACACGATCTTTGGGGCAGTAAAGTTATCCAACCGTTTTGTCGTGGTGCGGCACCGTGCTCAGTCAATCACACCGACGATCTTTACATATAAATCTGCGAGGTGGTCGTGATTAGTTCGGATTTCATTATGTTTTCCCATCGATAACGGCGTCTGGACAAGGGCGCTCACCAGTTCTGTCTGTCTACCTACAAAACACATCAACTTTTGAAACTTCTTTTTTTTTCAACTTTCGAGTAATTCATTTTATACTGCACCTGTTTGTTGTCCTACTTTGTAAGCAATAAACAAAGTTGCAGTGTTTAATAGAAATACTGTTTCTCCGTCAAAGACGTTCTGGCACAACGCAGTATTAATTGTATGGCAATCCGCACAGCGGCCAATGTGGTCTTCAACTGGCAAACTACTCAGGACTACAATGAGAAGTCTCTATCCCAACAGTACGTCCAAGAGTCAACAGGTGAGAAGCACCACATCATTAGAGATCCTCTTAAAGAAAGTTGTTGCAGTACAGTGTTATGCATGGACGAAAAAATTAATTAATTGATCCGCCCCAGTATCGAAGTTGGAACGACAAGGTCACATGACAATCTCCCCCCCCTCTCTCTCTCTCTCTTTCTATCTCTCTCTCTCTCTCTCTCTCTCTCTCTCTCTCTCTCTCTCTCTCTCTCTCTCTCTCTCTCTCTCTTTTAAGTGTGTAGATCTCCAAACCACGCTTGTGGGTTTAATTCTCTCAGGCAGATTGACAGGAAATCTTAAAGCAGTATGCATGATACAGCATTACCTTGGTGGTAGACATAGAAGAAATAGATTGCCCAAGTACTACTCCCTTCCTTTCTCATCTTGACTTACATGATATGGCCCTAATGAGAGACATCGTCTGTACGTTTGGAATCAAAGACGCTTTATCGGTGTGTCTGACTGTTTCTTTTTCTTCTCAGCAGAAATATAATGTATTATCATTATTATTCTACAGAGCTCCTCCGTCTCTCTGCTACAAGGCTGTATCCAATTCAGCCCGGGATGGCTCTGGAGGCGCATGAGTTAAAAATCCCGCCTTCCCCATTGTGGACACTGAGTAAATGGGAGGTGAAACGTTAAAAATTCACCATTGCGTTACGTTAACAATCAGCCATTACCTGCAACAATCAACTGTTAACCCTGGCAATCAACGTTAAGTGAACCAGCGACAGACGTTAACACTCAGACTACCCATAAACTTTAACAATCAACTGTTTACCCTAACAACCAACCATCAACGTTAAAACAACCAACCATCAACGTTAAAACAACCAGCCATAAACGTTAACAACCAACCGATGGCCCTTACAACCAACCAACCAACTAACCATCAGCATTCGTTAACAGCCAACCATTATCATTAACAATCAATCAGCCGTTTAACAAAGCACGCAAGTTAGAGTTCTCAGAACAGACATGATAATATCATTCTTAATATTATCTGTGTGGTCTCTAAGGCTCCGAGGACGTAGCGCCGTGTGCAACATTCTTAAGCGGTATACTCATGGTGGTCAACTCCAGGTCCGTCTCCCGCTTCTTCCTGAGCGCGTCGGGGATGAAACGGTTAAAGTTTCTGTTCATGGCGCAGTAGATGACTGGGTCAAGGACGTGTGACGTCTTCGCAGCCAGCGCGGGCAAGGCGGAGAGCAAGGGCGTCAAGGTCACGTGACTGGAGTAGGATTTGATCATGGCGACGACGGCGTAGGGTGTCCAGCACAGCATGAAGCTGATACACATGAGGACTGTCATCTGGACACGTTTG